TTTCTGGGAGTTTTGAAGCAGCAGCAGTTGTTGGGTTTTGTCACAAGCAACATTTTCTAGGAGTTTTGAAGCAGTAACAGTTCTTAGGTTTTGTCACAGGCTGTTGGAGTTTACACGAAAAGCAACTGTTGCGCAAATCTCTCGCAATATTGAGCATACTTTCCACAAAAAAAACCTCCGATAAAACGCAATAAAAATAAACCAGTATAAGCAGCAACCGTTGTAATTTTACATTATCGGTGGTCTTCATTCAATCTTCACCCTCGTATTACGGCCTCGTCATTGTTAACAACACTATCACTTCTCTAAATTGTCGACAATGTCAGCTATTCTGAAAGGGGATATTAAATTCAGTGACAATGATCTTTAAGTGTGTACGTGCGTCGAGTGTGTAGGAAACGAAAGTTAAATCACGTGTCTGCTTCAGTTTGTTAGCTCCCGCGAGATAACGTTAATCGAATTACTGTCGTTTTGTAATAATAAATTCGGCCACACTTTCATTCATATTAACGTCTACGTGTCTGGATGTAAGTAGTTTGTCTTGTAGGATTCCAGTTACTAATTGTTTACTAACGTCAGTTGCAGATAAAAGTAGATTAAGCTTTTGTTTCCTCGGAACAAAAGTGGGATTAATTTCTCTAACAAAGGATAAATCCGTGTTTTATTTGTTCTATAATTTCTATATGAAGTTTTTTACCTGCTCCAATGATTTTAATGTCTATTTTATAAAATTCTCCATGGCTTCCTGTGTGTGGAATTTTTTTTTCTTTCCCCTCTTCCCCTTCAGAGTTGCAGTTTCTACCTTTAGTTAATTAAATGGTTAAAAGAGTGAAAATCGATTTAACTTTCTTTAATAGAGTTTGCCTGGAAGTTTGAAGTTAAATCGTGAATTTTCTTGTTTTTTTTTTTCGTGTGAGGAAGACGTGAAAATGTGTGTACTTTTCTCTATATAATATATATATTTTTTTAGGGAAATTTCGTATATACAGTGAGGAACACTTGAAAGATGTGCTTGCGTGGATCGAAATTTATCTCTTTTTCTCTGTTTACCTTCTTTTGAATGTATTTATCTGTGTGTTTTTTGTATTTCTTATATTTTTTTGGTGTGCGTAAGAATGTAAGAGTATAAGTGTATGTAAGCGTGTGAGTGTAACTTCGTGCTAAATATGCAAAAGGTAACAGATAAAAACACAACGTGATAATTCTATGTTGTATTTCTGTTCGTATATCGTAGTCTCCTTCTTTATGATATACCCAAAGAGGGAGACTACGATGGGTTTTGATATATGGTTTCATGTTCTTCTGTGGTTATTTGTGTCTCTCTCCCTGTTCGTTCGCCCGTTTAATTATGTAGAAATAAACGGACGAAGTTGCATAACTTTAAGGTAGAATTACAGAAATTTGTAATTAAATTCGCTCTGAAAATACTCCAGGAGATGATACGATGAGGAATTCCACTCGAAAATAATCTTGTAAACACAACGTTATGACGAGAAGCCTTAGATTTTTTGGGGGGAAATTTACATGGCTTCTTCGTTGCAAGTTGCTCCCGTTCTGGTATTTAGTTTACTCGTTTCACACGAGACGATTAAAGTAAGTTATATAAAACCTTCAACACACCGTGGCTGATTGCTAGAGGCGATTAAATGAGTATATCACTCCCAGGAGTAGAATGGTGACTGATATAGATTGAAAGATATATTGTTATCGCTTCTAGGAGGATTAAACACAAGACGTTGCAGCAACTCTAAACGAGTAACAGCGTGGAATTTATTTTGTGCCACACGACGCTGCATCATAGAATATCGTAATAAACTACCGGATAGAGATTTAAAATAAATTTTGCCAAGTGTTCCTCAACCGTATGCCATTGAAAACTTTACTCAGATCCAGATAAGTGTATGGAAATTCTGTTTTAAATGAGGTCAAATCAATAAAATTTGCTATCGTCAACATTTTTTGGAAGTGTTGTTGCATTGTGGTTTCAGTCCGAGCGTTCGGGATTGGCCAAACATCTGCACCTTCTGACATTAAGACGAAAATTGACATGGCACACTTAATTACGTCTGTGCAGCTAATTTAATGATATACATTCTGAAGTACTCTGTAGTGCGCTTTATGTATGTAGAGTGTCAACTCTGGAGATATCTACAAACTCCTAACCAAACAATCCTTTAGGAAACCCAATAATCTTCAACGTTAAAATTTAAGGGGGGAGAGTAGCGTATACGTTAAGCTGTCAGTCGATATTTACTTTATCTGTCACGCAACGTTGGGGTTTGTGTAGTGAAGTGGAACGTTTACCCGCGCTTAAGCACTCCACAGTTCTCTTATGTTTAAAAATAATTGCCAATCGATTCAACTTTCCTACAAACTAACAAAAGGTGTACTTACGTCTTTGATGGGGATATCCGTTTCCATTATGATGCCCATATCCATTCCGTCTTGCACGTAGTAACTCCAGTGTGGGGCGCAGATGACAAGTATGCTGTCCATCGTGGCACTGTTGGCGTGGCGACGCATGACGTAAGCGTTCCAAGAAACGTAACGCAGGTGGCTACGCGGCACCAGATGCAAGTCCGAACAGAACAGCTTCAACTTGAGAAATTCTCCCTCCATGTCCAAATCCACGCACCATCCCTGCTTTTCCCTGTCGTAGCAATTGGCCGTAGTGGCCGGCTCGGCCGATTTGGTGGGTACCATGGCCTCGCTGACCGTGTTGGCGCATATCATGATGACGTGCAACCTTAAATGGCCACGCCTGATCAAATCGTTCAGCTGGCACCTCAACCCGAAACCCCTGATTTGCCCGTTGACATCGGAAATCTGATCCACCAAACCCGAGTCCATTCTTCTCTCGCCCTCCCCCAACACCATCTGGTATTGCACGCGGCAGGGGTGGTCGAAACCCGTTAGTCTGTTCAGCAAAACCCGTGGCCTGTTTCCGAATTCGGGATCGTCCTTCTTGGTCTGAATGGTGACGTTCCATTCGTAACCACCAAACGTGAAGTACGAGCTCTCGAGATTGTTGGAGCGCGAGCTGAAGGGCAAATGCGAGACCCTGATGTCTGTCTCGAAGGTCGAAATGACGTTACCGAGAGTCAACTCTATGAGAAATTCGCCATTCTCGTCGGTGAATCTTCGTGCAACCAGGTCACTCATCATCACCCATTTGTTGTTACCATGAACGGCCTGATCGACTGTGAACTTCTTTTGCTTCTCGCTGAAGTTCTCATTCTTGCTGAAGTGCTCCCGATTCAACAGCGTAAAAGTGAAGTCCACTAGGCATTTGCTGCCCGGCGAGAGTGTTCTCAGGATCAGGAACACCCCCATCAGTTTATCCGTTCTGGTAAAAGTCACCGCCCACTTGTGATAGTTATACGTGAAGTCTTTCGTGGTCACGTCACGATGCTGATCACGCGTCACCGAGCGGGTCACGATAAACGTGAAGATCCCCGTGTTGCATCTGTCGTTGATTCTCGTAAATCTATACAGCAGGGCCATCTCGAGCTCTGAAAGTAGAAAAAAAATGGGGAAAACCTGAATATAAATCACTCTTATTGAACCGATCGATGCTCCATTTACTCACCCCCGGATTTGTGGCCGTCACGTGATTTAAATATTCAGTTCCGTAATAGACTGGCTATTTATTTACCTCTTGTGAAAGGAATACACTATACAGAAACTGGAATTACTTCTCTAGTAAGGAAGAAATGTGTAATCTCCAGATCGATAGGGTTGCAGTATCGACTGTTTGTTCTGTATCTGTCCAGAGTTTTGAATATATATTCTATTCACTGATCATTTGTAATATTTAATACGCTGTGGTGCGTCTTTTATGGTTTCTACTTTATTACTTTCCTTATCCTAGTCGCGTGATATTTGAATTACCTCAGGATATTTTAGTGCTGTATTCAATTTTTCTTTGACACATCTGAAGCTTCCTTCCTGTATTACTCTTTTTTCCCCCTCCACTTTCGAAGGGGAGTAAGAACTTGCAGAGATGATTACAACATCTTGCAACAGTGATATATATATATACCGTATTAAGCTATCTGTGCCGGGTAGACTTAAATTCTTGTTGGTCACATGGGGAATTATGCTGCAACCATCACGCGATGAGATTAATATAACTGAGTAATAATATCCCCCTCACCGTAATGGCATTAATCACGGTGATTCTAGACGTATGCAATTTAAATCGTGCGATTAGTGATCAGCAATTACTATAATTTCTTAACTCGCAGGTAATTCTGGTGATTGAGATAACATCGGTTTTAATTCAAGCCGTGCCACCTTAAATATATGCAAATCGTACCCGTTTATTGCGCCATTAAGTTGGCATTAGTGTCCTTTATTTTTAAATAATAAAACGTGTTCTCGCGATTTTCTCTCGTCCTCAATAAACGATCCCGTTCGGCATTGGGATCACGTGATTAGCATGCAAAAAACGTTCACCCTCTCCGACAATCGATGCGATCGATCGCTCTTCCTAATTATGGAGACATAACCGAGGGGAATAACAATAAATAAACTTGATACTCTCTGGGTAATTTGGTAGATAACTCCATTAAAAGACCTGCCACTACCCGCTTTTGTGTCGTCTCTTTTAAATGCCAATTCGGTGCTTAAATGTTAAAATATTGTTATTTTTTTTTAGTGTTTGATGTTTGGCATTCTTTACGTATCTATTATTGTCTCGGTAAGGTGGCTTACTGCCTTTAAAAGAGCCGGTATTTCACCCCAAAATAAAAAAAAATAATCTTTTTCTTAATCGTGCTTTCCTGTAAAAAAATTCCATTCTTAACAACGTTATCTAGCGTGTAATTGTAATTTTTTAAAAGTGAAATTTCATCTTAATAGGTATTAAAAGCTTTTCAATCTTTGTCTATTGAGTTTACTCAACTTACAGGCTGTTTAATAGGAGAATTTAATTAAGTTACCGTAATGACTAGGTAAATATTTATTTCCTTTTTTATTGTGACGTCAGGTAAGAAGAAGAACGTATAGTTAAACATAATAATGAAATTTTTACATAATGGATCCATTATCGCCCTCTTAAACAAAATTCCGCTGAAAATTAATTTAAATCATATTCAACTCAACTGCTATTAAAATAAGATGATGTTGCCGAATACAATTTATCCCTGAATTATCAAATCAATTAACACTTCAAAGAAATTTAAGCCGTTGAAGCATTTACAAGAATTTATTTATTGCTTTTTCCGTATTTGAAAATGAAATTTTCATTGAATTTACTGTTTAGGGATAATTCCCTATCGTAGGGAATCACCCCAAACTACCCTACCGAAATTATCTCTAGCTATTAATTCGGTAAGTATTTCAAGGTCAGACGGGGAAAATTCTCTGCAAAAATAGGGAAAAATCTGTAGGCTGTTAAGAATTCTCCCTACATACAGGGAATAGGGAATTTTTCCTATTTTATGATTTTTATATTTGATAACAAAATTTTTATTGAATTTACTGTTGAGGGATAATTCCCTGTTGTGGGGAATCATCCCCAAGTTTTCTGCAAAAATTGTCCCCAAGTATTAATTCCATAAAAATTTCAAGGTCAGATATGGAAAATTCTTCGCAAACAGAATAATTTGTAGGTTGGTAAGAAATTTCTCTGTATTTAGGGAAATTTCTGAATGTAGGAAACAATACATTTTAGTGATAGATTCTGTCTATAATGATCATAAATATATAATATTTAGGGTAGAAATATACTTAATATTTTTACGAGAGATGTTAATTTTACTTTATTATGGAATTATCCGGAATAATAATATAATAAATATATAGGAAATAATCCTGAATATTAGGAATATCCTTATGCAGAAAAAAATCAATAATTTCATAGGTAAAGATGGAAGGATGAATAAAAGAAAGAGGGACTTTTTCAACTTTGTTTTCTCTTAGGTATACCTCCTTATTGTCACGATCCATCTACATTAAATTACTCCCTATTTAGGGATATTTTTCTAAATTCATCAACTTAATAAGAATTTTTAATATATTATTTAATCTAAAGCATGTTTTAAAAAATAACATTAAAGGTAAGAAGATTAACATTTAAAAAATAATGATTAAATTTTGATTACATCAAAATAAATTACCCATTTTAAAATCGAACGAATTACATACAGAGAGAGAGAGCCAGAGCCAGAGGGGGGAGATAATTTTCAAATTAAACATTGTATTGAATTTCTTTATGGGATTTTAAAAGAAAAATAACGTCCCTTAATTAAATTAAACATCTCTAAGCCCTGAACTCATCAATTTAGATTTTTAGGAGCACGAATTAAAACTCGATATCCTCGAATTAATCTAATTTTTGATTAACCCCCTTACTTCTCTTCTCTTATCTGTAAAAATTTAAATCTGTAATTTACTACCTTTTCTAACGACAAAAATGCCTTGAGTTAAATAAAGAATGTTGTCGTAATTATTTTCTTCCTAAAGGAAAGTGGGAGAGATAGAAAAGAGAAAAAAAATCTGTTGGTATCAGCACAAATATTTTTAAATCCCCGCTCTGAAAGTAATTTACTTGTAACAACATAAGAAACGTAATAATAAAAATCTCTCTGGATGATCTCCCGAAATTTCTCATTAAACTTTTAATAAAATTAATTAATTAATTTCCCTTTTTTCAGCCCTATTTTAATGTCGAAGATTAGTTTTGTAATTGTCTACAGATCAGAAATTGTTATGTTGTTTCGCATTTCCCTCCCCCATTCCTTCAATTTGGACTTTCTTTAAAGTGGGATTTTATTGAATTTATTTGCGGGGAAAGTTTTTGTTTTCTAATTTTGAAAAATTACATTAAATAAATTTTCAAGTGAGGTCGACTACATTAAGTTTGTTTTTTTTTCTTTGCCAGATTCTTAAAATTAGCCGAATAAACCGGAAAAGTAATAAAATTATTTTTTTTTCTACACAGAAAATAATTACATTAGGAATTTCGGAAAGATTTTTGCAAATTTTTAAGAAAATTTTTAGGGAATTTTTCCATTTCTAGAAGATATTATGTATTTCTTGGGAAATTTAGGAAATTTCTGGCGTTTAGGGAAATACTTAGGGAATTTTTGCATATTTAGGGAAGAATATATATTTATTAGGGAATTTAAGGGATTTTTCACATTCCTCATGGACTCTAATAATACGAAACATTCTTTAATACTTCATTCCTAAATCTTAAATACCTTAAAATTCCCCAATATGCGAAAATTAGGGAAAATTCCCTAAACACGAAAAATTCCATTGGGTACTGTAAAAAACAAATATTTTTTCTTATTCGAAAGTAGCTAAAAGTAGAAAGTACTGTATTGAAAAAAATCTAGTCCGCTGCTACTGAAAAATCGCTGCTACAAATTTTGAAAAGCTTGAAAAAAATTTTAATTGTAATCTTCATTAAAATTTGATTTAAAACAATATTTTTGCACTTTGTCGATCACATTTATCAAACGTTTCATATTATCCAAAATATCCCGCGTCTACATTACCTTGGATAATCGAGATTCCAGCCCATCAGTGGCCGAGTGAATAAAACCACTGAAGACTTGTAGTTGACATGAGTTTTCGCCTGGTCAACTTACTGGCCACGTAAAGATTTCTTCACGTTAGTAACACGTAAATAGGGGCCAGTTTTTCATAAAAAATCTCCCGGAAAGGCATTCCCCTCGGCAGATCGCCCATGTGTCGCGTTGCCTTATACGAATAAAACCAAACTAAACAAATCCAGATGATCCACCAGTGGCAAGGCGGTTCTGTTCCCTGAACACTGGGAATTCAGTCATGGATTCGCGCCTGGCCAGGACAGGCTGGCCATGTGAAGTTTTCCGGATTTTATCCTCGTCTATAATGCCTGAATGGGTGGGAGGGGTCAGTTATCTTTAAAAATAATGCCGAAGTGTTGCGTTGCCGTAAGTTAATAAACAAACAAACCAATCCAGATTCCACTGTAAAAACATCTTATTAAATATAAATATTATTGTAAAATTATCAGACAATAATATTAATCTTTAATCTTGCTCATGGGAAAACGTCTATACTTTCTACATATTTAATTACGTCATTAAAATTTATTTCAATGCTTGATAATTAAAAAGAACTAAGCTTAAATCTTAAAGAGAATTTGAAAGTTCTATAAAACTTACTAATAAAGTTTTTAGAAATTTTAAGTAAATTGAAGTTTCGAGTGCTTATCACATACAGTACATTTTTTTTGTTTGAAAAAAGAACCGTCTTTCCGTCCTTCCTGATTTCGTTAGAAGTTCAATAATAATCTCATTTATTTGAAAATCATAAAATTTGTCTTTATACAATATATAAAATATAAATAAATATAACAGGTAATAAGACAGATAAATATTTAGTTATTTATCTCTTATATATAGGGGATACCGGGGCAAGATCGGCATGTTAAGCTTTACTTAAATTTTGTGTAATAAATACTGCTGTAAACTGAGAAAAAAGCTTTGCATATTGTCTATTGGAATGTTACCTT